AAAATATTTTGGGGGCCGCTGGCTGGGTCGGTAGAGCATGTAACTGTTGATCTCAGGGTTATAAATAAGTTCAAGCCCTATGTTGGGTGTAAAGATTACTTACAAATTAAATCTTTGAAAAAATTTTTTGTTAAAAATGTTTAACATGTAGGTTTTATGAACTTAAAATGAAGTAATAGAGATTTAAAAAATTCTTAGTTTTAATTTCTAGTATGATAAATATCAATAGCCCACATATACCAAAGCTCTTTGGAGTTCTCAATTTTTAAGAGTAAACCTGAGACAAAAAGTTTGAGAACCACTGGCTGTGAGGAAGGAAAGGAAGACAGGGAGAAAAAAAAAGAGATAAGAAAATTGGTCCAGAGTCTGATAGTTATCTAGACTTGAGGGGATGAGGACTTGATAAGTGGCAGTATGACTGGAAAGAAAGAGGCTAATTCAGGAGACATTTTGAAAGAGGAAATAGTAAGGTTTGATACAGTTTCAATATAGGGTGAATGGGATGGAGAGCTTAAAGATAACTTGTGTGATAAGTACGTTTTTGTATTAAGTAAGGACTAGAAGTCAATTAATGGCAGTCAGCTCAGGTTCATGGGTAGATGCTCCTCTATAAATACTATTTTTGGAAAATCAAGGAGGGAAGGTGCCTTAGGAGAAGGAGCAGTCAGGAAGAAATAGGAAAATGCTTGTGAACAGAAGTCAGGGAGGGCAAGAAGTTTAGCAAGAAGCAGGTCATGGACATTTAGAAGCAGAGGAAAGGACTAACATCCATCAAGGCTGTGTCTCATTTAACGGACTCAATTCAGAAGTACTATTTTGGAAACTGTTATTAAGTAAATTGCTCAAGGTCACATGGTAGTAAATGGCTGAACATTGCCAACAGTGTCCAAGCTCCTAGAGTTTGAGGAGGATGAGAGCAGAGAAAGGGCTTCTCTTGATAGAATGATCTTTGGTCATCCCCAGGGACCTCCACAGTTCTAACAGAGTCGGACTTTAAGAAGAGAGAATGATGAGATGAGAAATGAAAGCAGTAAGTGTGCGGGGCGCCTGGGTGGCTCAGTCGTTAAGCGTCTGCCTTCAGCTCAGGTCATGATCTCAGGGTCCTGGGATTGAGCCCCACATCAGGCTCCCCGCTCGGCAGGAAGCCTGCTTCTCCCTTTCCCTGCTTGTGTTTCCCTCTCTCGCTGTGTCTCTCTCTGTCAAATAAATAAAATCTTAAAAAAAAAAAAAAAAGCAGTAAGCGTGGGCCAAGTGGGAACAGTTCGATAATTAGAAAAAGGAGGAAATTTATTGTCTTGAAGGAATAATGAGTTCAAAAAAAGTTACTTAAGGCAGAAAAGTCATAAACAAAAAACTATTTTTTGTTAGGTAAGAGAAATATAAACACATTGAATATAGACAGGAATCTGTGAAACCAGAAAATGAAATAATAGTGAGAAAGTGGGCTCTTGGTGTTAGAGTTGGTATAAATAATGACCAACTTTGATATAGCATCTTACCTTAAAGATGCTTGGTGTACAAGGTATTTTCTCACCTTTTTTTTTTTTTTAAGCTTACAACCTTTAAGAAGTGGTTATGGCCACTTCCCTCATGAGGAAATTGAGGGTTAGAGAGGTTCACAATGAGTGGTCCAGAAGAGCTTTGATAGAAGTCCTTTCTTCTGAGACTGTAGGGAAGGATGGGGGGGGGATGGTTATAAGGGGCACAAATGGATTTGACTTTATGATGGCAGTAATTGAGGAGCTGGTCAGTTTATGGACTGTACCTGAGGGTTGGTGCTGCAAGTCCGAGTGTGATTAGTTAGAAGGAGACAGGAAATGACCCAAGAAATTCCATTTGCTTTTCTCCACTTGATTATTCCATTATGGTGTGATATTGAGGATTCCATGAAAACATTACTGGGAAGGATTATCACTCTCCACTTGTCTAATGGATTCCCAGGAAGTTATTCTTTCAGCTCCAAATACAGCCATCATAAATTCTTTGGATATTTAAATTCAGGAGATGTAAAGTGTTGCTAAGAGATGATGTCTTTCTCTCCAGTTCTTATCCTGCTGGTTTTGGGTAAGGTACACTTTTTATTGATGAGTGATTTAATATTAATTAACGAATGAAAATACTTTCCATTTAGAGTATCCCACTGGATTTTGGTTTAGGGGGTCATTTTGCAGTAAGAATGAGCTCTAAGAAAATCTTATCTGACTGTTCAAATCTCAGTATTTGGTGATCGACTGTGGAAGTAGAAATGCATTTTAATTTCACAGTCCAGTGTATCAGTGTGAGTTTGTAGGCAACTCATCTCTCCCAAAATGGCACTGTCACTCTTCACCCAGGGGTCCTTCTGCCAGAATGAAAAGTTCAGAGAGAGAAAGCTGTGCACGTTAGGCAGGGGGAAATGTGGACAGCTTGACGTGGATTAAGGGATTCAAACTGAAGGGGGCTTCTGAGGGGAAGGTCACTGGAATGACATTTGAGAAAAGAGAATAATGTGAAAAGACAGTTGGGAAGCTTTTGGACAAAATGAAATTGCAGTGACTTACTGGTTGCTAAACCTGAAATAAAGAACGTCTGTTCAAGCATTCGGAACCCAGGTGGGGTTTTGGAACTTTGGTGGCATCCAAGTACAGACTGAATGGTTAAGAGAACAAGTTGATCATGAGCTTGGGGGAGTGTCCTGTCAATTCAGACATTAAACCTGGGAATTGCCACAGCTCCCAACTCGTCTGAAGGGGGGAGGTTTGAATGAGGAGTCAGCTGTCTTTGCATAAATATATATGTTTTAATGAAAACCTTGGCAATTTGGGGTGTCTGCGGACACAATGTGGAGGCAGCAGTGACTCCAAAGGGGGCACCCCATTCCCCAGGACCTACGTGGGATGCAGGGTCTCAGAGTGAGCCCCATGTGAACAACGGGCTGTGGCCTCATTTGTTGTCACGGTAAATTCTGTGGCAGCCAAGCTCTGGGTGTCTCCACAGCTGCTGCCAACTGGGAGTGTTTCTGGCGCTTTCCCTGGAGTTTCAGGTTGAACCAGGAGCTAGACATTCAGGGGCACATTCACAGTTGGGGAGCAGTATAGAGATTGTGTCGAAAGGAAAGGGAGGTGTGGAGTAGAGAAACTACTGAGTTCCGCCCCCTTACCCGCTTCTTCCTCTTGCCATCTGCATCCTGTTGGCTCCTTCTGGTCCAGCTGCCCCCTGAGATAAAAGAGCTGCCCTGCCTGAGCCTTGGGGCGAGGGAGGGTGGGACTGATCCTGTTCTGAAGTGGTTCAGCCCTTGGGTGTGCCTGGGTTTTGCTGATTTGGTTTGGTTCCTGCCTGCTTTTCCCAATGCCCAAGTACTTTGGGAATGAAAATATGGTGGAACTCTCTGGTGGGAAGGGACCTTTTGTAGAGTGGCCTTCTGGGTGTGGTTGACCTGCCCCGGGGTGCTCTCTTACCCCTTTGGCTTGGAGCCACTGCCCCTTCCTGGTACGAGTTTAACACAGATGATCCAGAAACATGTGGGCTCTCTTAACCCAGAACAATCAAGCCTTGGTTATTTTACCCCTGCAGTTTTGTTGAGCAACTAAAAAAAAAAAAAAAAAAATCCAAGCTGGCAAACCACAGTTCTTAGTGCAAACATTGGGAGCTTTTGAGAGTAAGCAAGGGGCGGGATGCTTTTCCTTCCTTGAGGATACAGCCAGCCTGGTTTCCCGTGTAGCTGCTATCCTGGGAGCATGACTGAGCAAAACTGGTATGTGAATGAGGATAATACAAATGGTCTTCTCAGCTCTACTGGTTTTGATTTTGCGGTTCCTTACAAAAGGTAATGTTAGCATTGAACTTTGGTGGTGATACTGTAGCTCAAAGGTAACACTGCTATTTTGTTCTTTCCTCATGTTGTATTTCTAAGACTTATTATCTGCAGATTTCCACATCTAGGAAAAACTGGTTCATCAATGTATGGGTCTCGTCTCTAGACGATTAACAAAAAAGAACAAAACATTAAGATGAGTGAGTATATTACAGGTTGCATATTGTTCTTACGTTCAAACTTCTGTAAGCAGAGTATGCTTTATACGTTATTTCATTCCCTGATGGATGCTGATTTAAAAATACATGAGAGGTGTTAGAATGATGTATCATTTCGTCGCCCTTAATTAAGTTCCCTTAGGCTTTTGGATACAAGGTTAACCTATAGCTCAACATTTAAACCCAACAACAGAATTCTTTTAAGTGCAAAAAGCAAGATGAGCAGCTTCTTAGGGGACGCCAGAGAAGGAAAAGGTTGCAAGCATGCACTGTGACCTTCAGGTTAACCATGCATCCAGCATTACCGTGGAGTATTCAGAGAATACAGCCTGATTTCTCTCCATCTCTGCATGAACAGCAGAGTGTATCACTGGGCTTTGTCTCTTGGGACACATTTCGCTGGGATTTAAAATCTTTGTTTCAGAGTGGATTCCTGACGATTGACCCTTGAGTTGGAGTCCTGGTTTGGACTTGGCTGTGGCTGTGGAAACCCGCCAAAGTAGTCCTGCCCATGTTTTGGTTAATGAGAGCTTGGATTTCAGTTTTACCCCAACATTTAAGTAGCTTGGGGCTCTGCCAGCATGCCACTAGGGTTTAACTTCATCTCCGCCTCCTGTGGGCATTGGCCACCCTGTCCTCTTGGAGAGTTAAGATGAAAGGCAGGCCTCTTTCTGCCTCTGGTGTCTGAGGTGTACCCATTTTTCACATGCCGTGGAAATAGAAATCGCTATCGTATAATCACACTGTGTTCTGATTCAGGTCAAATATTTCACTCTTTGCACTTGGAGTTTCTCTTCCACTGTTTTCTTAACCTGTCACAGCCTCTTAATTAGAATGTATTGCTAGAGGACAGGCAGCATTGTCAAACTTTGTGCATTTTATGAAAATACACAAAAGCACCAGACAAGCAGCTGTAGCGCGAGCTCCTCCAGATGCAAAACTGAAATTCCCCAGAGGGGCATCTTCATTGTTTTCTTTCTTTGTTCCAGAAGCAAAGGCCGATAATGAACCGAGCTGTTCGCCGGCAGCTCAAGAACTGTTGACAAGGCTGGGATTTTTACTGGGAGAAGGGATCCCAAGTGCCACACACATAACCATTGAAGGAAACAATGAGACCATGGTAATGCCCAAGGAAGACACTGCATATCATACCTGCTCAGAGTATGCATGAAGGAAGGCATAACCTGTCTTCTCCCCGTCCCTGCGTGGGGGAGTCATTGTTCAGTCAAAGGAGTCTGGGCTGTTGTGTATTGAAATTTACTTCAACAGTTTGTGATTTCTGCAGTGGGGAGGTGGGGCGAGGTGGAAGGGTGCGGAACTCAAGAAAATATCCATGTTAACCTTCAAGTCACCACCCAGGGAAGAGTAGCTGAATGACTTTAAGTGGCTGAAAGAATCCCATATTAAGGATACTCCTTTTATCTTTGTAACACCAATTCTTCTCAGCTGGCTGCTTTGGGATGTGCTTTCCTGTGCGTTTTTTTAGGGTTGAGATTTTGGAGGGTCAGTGGGATGAGGAGAAGATTTGTAGGAGATGAGGCAGAGACAAAATAAGATGCGAGCAAATGGTTTGTGCATGGGAGAGCATTCCGCATTCTAGGGACTCAGCAGCCTGCTGCTTCAGGATGGAGATGGGTAACGTGTGCATGGCAGTGAGGGGCCAGAGCTCCCGCCCCCCTGCGGAGGGCCTCTGCGAGGGTGTCACGCACTGATTGAGATGGCGGTGGCCACCAGCCCCCTGGCTCTGCGAGCAGAGCCCATAAATCTTCAGGAATTGAATCAGGCTGCAATGCTCGTGAAACATTACAAAAACAGAGTTCCCAGGTTTTCCGTACAGAGGTCAAAGAACCCATTTGTCTTCTGCAGACTTTAAATGAAAGGAAGTCTGCCTGTTTGCTATTTCTATTTTACGAATGTGCGTTCCCACTAAATTATTTCTAAGACTGCCCTTTTAATAAATAAAAAAAAATCACAGGGGAAAGGGACAGAAGAGAGATTTCTCTTTTAAAATTTGGAAGGCCACATATATATGTATGAAGCCGCCTCACTTTAAAAAAAACTGTTTTCCATGTTCCTGTTTTTAGTTTATTGCTTTAGCGTCAGAAACAAAAGACTGTGTGGAAGCGTCCTGTGTGAAGCCGCGCTAACTCCTCCTTCCGTTCGTCTTGCAGTGCACAGCTCTGAGCCAAGGCATCAGTCCTTGCTCCACACTAACAAGCAGCACCGCATCTCCTAGCACCGATAGCCCCTGCTCAACCTTGAATAGCTGTGTCAGCAAGACGGCAGCCAACAAAAGTCCCTGTGAGACCATTAGCAGCCCTAGTTCCACCCTGGAAAGCAAGGACAGTGGAATTATAGGTAAGAAGCACACGGCTCGGTAATGGGACGGCTCGATGCACGTCGGCCAGAGCATTCACCAGGCACTTCTTCAGAAGATTTTAGTGTGGTCTGTGAAGGTTGGTCGGCCCGGGCCGCCCTGCTCTTTGCAGACTGCACAGGCCCCACGGATAGCCGAGAGGATGAAGCCTCCGCTCTTAACGTTCCTTGGTGTTTATTTTTTATAACCCTGGGCTCATTAGGTGAAAAAATTTCCTGATCAGATCAGACCTGTGAAGTTACAAAATCCTACCTCCTCATCGATTAATTCCATTTGCTGGGCATCTGGTCCCACTAGGGCATAGAACCGGGCAATAAAATCCCTGCGTTTCGAGGCGTCTTCCCAGCCCAATCGCAAGGTCATTTATTTCTTCACTTATTTCCAGGTGTTTGTTCTTTAGTTTCTTTTCATGGGATCTGACCACTGTTTTTGAGGCCAGAATTTTCTAAGGATGTCCACCCTGTGCCCCCACACACCCACACTCACACCAGTAGGTTTGGTTGTCCTGACCTGTGGATCAGGAGACACAGATTCTAGTCCCGACTCTTAGGGTGCTTAGCTAGGTCAACACATGCATAACATTTGAATTCTTTGTACACTTCTTTCCTTCTCTGTTAAAGTAAGGATTCTGATTCCTTCAGAGATTCTGGCCTCGGGTACACATTAGAATCAACCAGGGAAAAGAGCCCTTACTTTTCACATCCTCTCCCAGACAGAGTGCCTTTCCGTTTCTGAAGGTGGGGTTGTGCACCTGTGTGTCCCAGGTGTCCAGCGTGGCACCTTTCAGATAACAGACGTGTGGGACCGCTGGGTGGATTGTACGGGCCCTCCTATGCTCCTGGACTGCTGTTTAACATTGGTGCTCTACTGAACATTCAGCTGCTTCCCTTTTTCTGACTTATGCACATGTCTTTGCGGGATATTTTATGTTCTAGTAGGGCCTGAACCCCACTTATTTCCACGTTAGTATGTAATCAAAGGGGATGACATTTGAGCTCCTTATTTCCTTCATTCACCTGCTACTTCAAGTGTAATTTGCAAAACCAAGTTGCAGCTTCATGCACTTTATATTTTGGAGGTTGCCTCAGAAGATCTGTGAGATCACTGGGGCTGGGTGGCGGGCTCCCTGGTATAGACCTCACTGTAGCTTTCTCAGGGGCCCTTCGCATAAGGACGGCCGCCTCTGCCCTCAGTTTTCACTTGGATCAGCCTCTCCGGTAGGTTTTTGTTTTGTTCAGTTTTGGTCACCTTATTGAGATGCAATCACATACCATAATATTCACTCATTTAAACCACCGAATTGTTTTTGGTCTGTTCAGAGTTGTGCAGCCATCGTCACAATCCGATTTCAGAACCGTTCACCCCCAAAAGAACCCCGTAGCCATTAGAAGTCACATTCTGTTCCCCCTACACCCCCAACCTTGCTCATTCGGTAGTCTGCCATCTGTCTCCGTAGGTATTAGCTGGTTCTGGACCTTGCATTAAAGTGGTGGCTTGAGGTTTTCGTAGCAGATTTAAATGCTTTCACTTATTCTGCTGATTTCCTCTTCCCACCTCACTCTGCTTCTCCACCTGCCGTTTAGTCCAGATAATTTTTCCCGGTGTTACTTCTGTCCTCACGCCTTCTCTGAGCTGTCCTCCACTGCCGGGTCTGTGGGGTTCTGCAACAGCCAGGCGACTCCCCTGATGGCATTTACTCTTCTGAAATGTCCTCTCCTCCTGCCTTCAAGGAGTTCAGTGCTGCACGGTTTTTTGGACAGCCTTTTCTCTCTTCATTATATGATCTGGCATCGGCATTGCATGCCTCTGATTATGACCAAGCCAGTGTCTTGTTGTGACAGAACCTTTTTCAGTGACCAAAGAGGACCCTCATACATTCATTCTCTCCTCCCC